AACCTTACCTACGTAGGTAGTTAGTTACTAACAAACTAAGAATTAATTAAGTAATTAATAACTTACTACGAGACTAACAAAAATAAATAGTCTTATTGTGTGTGTGTGTGTATATATATATATATATATATATATATATATACACAGAATGATAGAAAAAAGAAAGCTACCTTAAATATCATAAATATGAAATACAAAGAACTTCTGTAATATGTTAATTCAACATCACCAAGTTATATTTCTACAAATAGGCTCAGAAGTAGAAGATAGTTTTTTTAAAGAACAAAAGTTAACAATGAATAACATTAATTACCTGTCCTCTTCTCCCTCGCCAGACTTGGGCTTCCCACCAACCATGCCCGAGGTGGGGAGAATGTAGCAGCTACACTTATGTTCTCATTTCCTTTTAGAATGGTATTTCCAGTACGTCCCTTCACTGAGGGACTTTTGGGGGCACTTCCAGAAGAAAGGCTAGTGAGAGGAAAACTTAAAGGTTGCTTTATCTGTGAAAGGGGGAAGATTGTAGTAGGATGGGGATAAGGAGGAAGTCTTGGGTTTCCCATCCTGCCTGAGGTGGTTGAAGAAAACACCACACTTGGGTGAATATCGGGCGACCTTGTGATAGCTGCACCTGTAACAAAACAATAAATAATGTTAAACATGAACAAGTCATTTGTTATGTTCATAAATACAAAAAAAAAATAACAATACATTATGACATTTCACTTTTGGTCTTAGAAATAATCCCAAAACTTCCATCATCAACTAACATCAAAATTTCATTTGTGCTCACTCCTTCCAATGTGAATCACAATAGAGCCTCAGCTTACTTATACTTACCAGGAGAACCAGGGCTAGCTGAGAGCACGGGACTACTTCGACCTGTTGGACTAGGTTGTTGTATCTCTTCTAAACCAGCACTTTTGTGGAACCGGCTTAACTGATTCACAACTCTGGGTGATGTATGAGTTCTTACACTTACAGGCCCTAAAACAATAGAAACATGAAATATCAATTCTTTTTTATACTAATAGTCTTTCTTATCTTAATGCAATTATATTTTAGTTATTTTTATAACTTACCTCCATAAGGAGTCAAAGGGAAGATGTGTGTGGTTCCACGCAGTGTGCTAACAGCTACCCAGCGGGTGTCCAATGAAAAAGCTATTTCTTGGACCTAGAAGCAGCAATGAATTAAAAGTTGACAGGTTGTCATCTACATGACTAAGACATCTGCAGTTAATGCTCTCCTAATATATATTTATATACATAAAGCTTTTCAGTACTAACTATAGTATTTTGGCACTTGTGTATAAAGTTAAAATCATAAATAATATTCAACGTTGAACTGGTACACAATTAAAAACATTTTATTTAGGCCTATCTATGGTCTTCAAGAAGTTAGCGACTCTACATGTTTTGACGTTACAAGGATGATGATGTAACATTGAAACATGTAGAGTAGTCAACTTCTTGAAGGCCATAGATAGGCCTACATAAAATGTTTTTAATTGCGTACCAGTTTAACGTTGAATATTATTTATGATTTTTCAGTACTACTTTCGGTAAAAAAAATTCTTACCATATTGGGAAGTGATGAATCAAGCATTAACAGTTTGGTGATAATATTTTGAACTGATTTCTTAGAATATAACATTAATTTTCACGTCTGCATTCACTTCCCACACTCTATGGAATAAGTTATGATAAAATGTTGCACCATACAGTTTTGTAACTGTTGGCTTTATTTATAGTGAGAACAACACTTAAGTAAGATGTCATCCAGTTTTCCTATTCTAGCAGTAACTACAATATGATCCAGCAGTGTACAGACAAACTGCAACATTATTTGGCTAGAGAAACATAACATACATAAATTGAGTAAAGTGGTAGACTGCAGAAAATTTTTATTTAGATCCATTCTTGACCACTTAACCATCTCAGAGAATTTTATTTGTTTGCTTTGTAGTTAAGCACAAAGCTAAACAATGGGCTATCTGTGCTGTGCCTGTCATGGGTATCAAAATTTAGTTTTTAACATTATAAGCCTTCAGACTTACGAATGAACCACTGGGGACAATCATCTCATATAAACTATTTTTTTTTTATAAAATCTTTCAGGCTTTCATCAAGAGTAATTTGAAACATGACATCAATTATTATCAAGAGTGGATATAGAAATGTAATGAAAATTACAGCATTCCATTAAGAGATCCATTTTCAGATGTCATTTGTATTTAACTACACATAAATACTTCAATCTCAAATGTTTCAAATTATAAAAATGACACTCTACTAAAAGTTGTGCCCAAAAAGATAAGTTAATCAAGAAATGTTTTAAAGGCATTTTATCAATTGTAATAATTCTAATTCTAGATTTTGGGAGGTGAGAAAAGAATAGGCTTAATTTCTCTCTTTAAAATGGGGGAGGGGGGTATCATCATCATGAAATGCAGTGAATAACCTCTGGTAAATAATTTTCAGAAACATTTTCTGATTTGTAAATTTCCATAGTACAGAGAATGTATTGGTCAAAACACTTGATATAAAGATAAAAACAATTTCTTTTCTTAACAATAACAGATTATACAGAGTTCTAAACTTTATAAATATGAGGTTTCTTTTTCTGTGTGATTTGAATTTCAAACCTTGGCTGTCGTATCACCACGATGGAGCGTATACAAGTGGTGAACTGCACCAAGTGAAGAACTAGCTGGGTGTGAAAAGATCCGGAAGATGTTAAAGTTGTGTCCAAGCTTGCAAGCCGTTAGCAGCAACATCCCACTTGGATCAAAAGACATGGCAGCTATGGGCTCATTTGCATGAGCAGGAAAGTGGGCAATGATCCCTTCTCCCTCAGTGTCTTCTTCAGTATTTAGCTAGCAATTATATCAAGAAAAAAAATTAACATCTTCACATGCTGTCATTTGGGAATTTAAAATGGCCTGTCTTCAAGATAAACACTGCTTCTCATTCTGAAAACCATATAATAAAGCAATTCTAATTTTAAAAGTATCATTTCATTCTTCAAGCAAACCACTTTTTCTTAACTATATTTTGTTAATGGAAAAAAAATAACATCTGCATTAATACATTATATCAAGTACTAAAATATTATAACATGTAATTAGAATCTGTAGTAGTTACTCCCACATTTCATTAATGCCACAAGAGGTTAATGCAAATATGACTTTAATGGTATGAGTGAGATAGAAAAATCACTGGATTTAAAACATCTGAAAACTTTCCTTATAGTCTTTTAAAACAAAATGGAAATTGGTAGAACACACCTCTCGAGTGGGAACACACTGGATATCAACAACTGTAACAATTCCAGGAGTATATTTATTTGCTGACTTGGACTCTTTCTTGGAGGGACTCCTGCCACCATGAGCTTTGTGTCCAGTCAGGCTCGTTGCTACTGTCTCTCCAAATACAGTTAGCCCCTTGGTAATGGTCTATAAAAAAATCAATTATTTTTCAACCCATCTGGTTGATTATGGTGCAGAAAAAAAGTTACTGAAAATTTAAGCTGTCAAATCACAATTGGTGTTTAGATCTCAAAATATGACATACCACACACTTTCTCAGAGAAAGAGGCCCAGTAGCCATGAAGAGCTTTTAAGATACATTAACAAAACAGGAACCATTAGAACAATGACAAAATACCCAATGTGGAATTTCATATAAAACATTGATGATTTATAAAGCTGGGCATTAAAAAGAATTTCTGCTTCATACTCTTAAAATATGTAATTATCTACAAACAGAGACACAAGTGGGATAATGCTCAAGTTAGCTGAAGGTTCTGTGTTAATCAAAGTAAAAATAAGCATATATTCTATATCAACAATGATGCTCTGTTTGATAACTTAAACATGAATGAAAAGGTATACAAAAAAAAACATATCCTATTATGTTTCTTCTTACTGAAAACTGTAGTATAGGTCCAGTCATGAAAGATTTGTAGAAAATTGATACAAGCCTTATTGTGATGTGATGTCAGAACAAACTACCAATCAACAGATCACACTTCACCAGTATCAGACATTATATATCATAATAATCTGTAGATTTCTTGGCTATGCACACATACTATATAAATCTACTGTCTCTTTTAACAAAAAATTTTTATCCAAATATTTCTCAAAGACATCTTGATTTTTTGGCTTGGATACTAAAAAAATTTTAAGTTTTTAAGACAATCCTTACAGTCTGCAGTTTACTATACAGGCAATAAACTTACCTTGGCTGCATGTATCACTGTTGCTGCATATGACTGAACGCCATCACCAGCCATCCCACCACAAGTCTGATGGAGTGGAACAAGCTGTTGTAATAAGAGACACCTAGGTATTATGTTTCACCCATGTTGCATTCAAAACTAGTACACTTTGCTAAACGTTTCTTGAAATTTTGTTAAAACTAGACATCTAGAAGTAAGTGTTTTAACCTATAAAATATTAAATTTTACTATGTAACATGATTTAGTTGGAAATGTACACATTTTCAATCACCCTTTTGTACTTAAAGATGATTAGGAGATTTGTGTTAATAAAAACTTTATCAGAATTGTTAAGACCATTAATTTTTGGTATGACTAAAAATTATTAATATGTTTAGTGATAATTATCAGTCTGTAAAAACAGAAACTTCTAAAACTTCTGTTTTTTTTTATTTAGCAAAGCATTGCTGGGAAGAATAAAAAAAAGGAAATATTATTATCCAGTAACAACAATCTATTTTAATAATTGAACAAACGAGAATACAAATAACAATAACAAATTAACAACTTTACAGTCTATTGATTAAGACTAATGCAGTTTAACATAAAGTCCAGGACTAAAAGGGTTGAGGAAAAAGAATAAAAATTTATGTTTGTGTGGCTCCACAAATGTAATTGAAACCAGTCTTACTTTTTTATCAGCAAATGCTAACCACCTTGTTCCAAGAGCAATAGGGTTTACATTTGGCCCAGGACTTGGATAGCATCCTGTTCCCAGAAAAGGACAATTATCAACAAAGCCAGTTACCAACATAGATCAGAATAAAAATAGTTAATATAGCTGATTTAATATATCATAAATTAATAGATGCAGAGACATAAACTTATAATGACCAGAATGCACTGATTCATCAACTGAGTTCCCTTGATATTTTTAGCAATGTAGTACAATTTACAGAATAGTCCAAAACTGAAAGCCTTTCATTTTATTAATGGCTCTTTTAGGGAAGAACATTTTTTTAGCAACTGAAATAGTGTAAGTACAGTAAAAATATTACAGGATATTTCTCTAAGCACAGTAAGATGGACATCACAACACTTATTCTAAAGACGCACCAGTTATGGTAAAAAGATCCCTAAAAGTTGAGCTGTCAAAGACTGTGATGCGTTCCTGGAAAGTTACTACCAGCACCCTTAAAAAAAAGAGAAACGAAGGTTGTGTTATAAAAATAAGTATGCCTTTTAATAGTGTCATTATAAAAAATGATAATCATGAATTATAGCAAGTCATATAAAACTCATTAGAATATGCCATGAAAGCTCATTCCACTACTCCAAGTACATCTATACTTTATAAGTCCTAGATTTTGATGACCCACTGAAAACCATACATTGTGCAATAAGTATTTCTGATAAATCAACACTTGAACCTAAATGTAGGAGGTAATCACTGAATAAGCAAGTTACCAACTTTATCTCCTCGAGACAGCTTAGCTCACTTGTCAAAAACTTGTCAGATATATCTATCCTAACACAAAAAAGTCTAGTGAACTGTTTACTTAGGAACAGCTTTGAGTAATTCAAATTCTAGGCTTCTATACAAGTATATAGATTACAAACTTTTCCACTTACCGTTTGTTACAATGAATATCTAATATTGGTGTTTTAAACTTAATGCAATGTATCTGGTCACCAGTTTTCAATGATACAAAGTTCACAGAGCAGTATTGCTGCCCAGCACTGAAAAAAAAACAACACAATTTTTAAATGTTTCAACAGTATGAATGTCTTTCTTCATAATGACCCATTAAAAATAAAATGACATTGGAAGAATCAAAATGAATCTATATATTGTTAAAATCAAAATCCATATGACTAATATAAAAAAAAAAGGTCAAAGAAAATAAGTTTAAGAAAAGTCAAATTATCAGTGTCATGGTAATGAAAACATTCTTTCCATAAAAATAATTTACTATATTATATGATGCTGGAATAAATTAAAACTTTTTAAAAACTATGACAATAAACATTTTCTTTGTGATAGAAGCCTTGTGAGTATAGGTAAGTCTTGAAAAAAATTGAAGTACAGTTGAATTTTGGACCTTAATTTTTTTAAACATTCTGGTAACAATGAAAGAGATTTATCGACAAAAAACTTCATTGATATGTTTAACACTATATGGCAAAAATATCTAGGTATAAGCAAAAACTCAACATTATGACTTTAGTTAAAAGGTTAACTGGATAGTTTGTAAAATAACATCAGTCAAAAAGTTTGAGAAACATAAAACCATTTCATTAACAAAATCTTTACTATAAATAATTGTGCGATCCAAAATCTTTTTTAAAAAATCTACACAAATTCTTACCTACCTAGAGCTATCACACAAAGCCACCAAAGGGCGTTTGGAGACAAAAAGATCTTGAGATCCAAACACTATGTAGTAAATAAATGTTATTTAAGAATATATAATCATTTAAACATACATCAAACATTCTGTAACCAAAGAAAATTAGCAACACATATTGAAACAATAACCACACAATGAACAACCAAGACTATTCAGTGAAATAACTATACAGAGTTACTACACTTTACACATATCTGACAAAAACAAGTAGTACTACTCTAGTAGTTTCACACAATTTGGTGAATAGTTACTCTATGTACACAAGCATTCATTATCTGTGGTATCAACACAAGCAAGAGTGCCTAGGCCTTTAAGCCTCATCTTCCATCATCATCATTGGTGGTCTTGGTTCTATTATTCTGCAGTGCAATTATACTTTAGATCAGAGTTGTCTTCCTCCTCTTTACATGCTTTCCAAAGTCTGTTAATCATGGGCATACAACTTCCATGAATCTGTTTCAACAACCTAAACGTACAGAAGTCCTGTTTGTACTGATATGTTGACTTGAACATATAGTTGGACACTATCTTGAAGGAGCCATGCCTCACTGACATCTAATCCACGTTCATATTTCTTCATGGCATAGTACTGTATGTTGGCCCGATAGTACATAGAATTCACCTCAGCAGTTTTCTCTCAACCCTCATGATAGTTAATTTACCATTAGCATGATAAAAATAAAATTCCCAGACTTTTGTAGATGCTTAAGTAGAAATAATCTTCATGCAGTGTATTGATGATGACATACTTCTATTTATCACATGCCAGATACCAATCAACAGTCTTCCATTTAATATCGGTTTTGTTGACAGCTTGTGAACACAGCTCTTGTGTTATTGACCTTAGAAATTTAAATCTGCATGAATTATTTTGTTTACAGTTCTAAGAAAGGAGAAGCTGATTATTTTCTTTATTACCTCCAGTGTGCAACTGGTAGCTGGTCAAGAAGTAGCCTGTTTTTTTTTCTACTGAACTCGTACTTTACCTTGTTTTATGAAAATGTTTCAACACTACAGATACCCTTTTCTACAAAATGCTAACATTTCGTGCCTTGTACGCTTTTATAATATCAGAATAGGACTATGTGTTGAAAAGTTTTATAATGTAATGCTAATATTTCGTGCCTTGTAAGCTTTTATAATATCAGAATAGGTCTATGTGTTGAAAAGTTTTATAATGTAATGCTAACATTTTGTGCCTTGTATGCTTTTATGATATCAGAATAGGACTATGTGTTGAAATATTTTATAATGTAATGCTAACATTTCGTGCCTTGTACGCTTTTATAATATCAGAATAGGATTATGTGTTGAAAAGTTTTATAATGTAACTGTCACATAAGGAATCTATTTTAGGCATTGCCTGTACTTCCAAAGTACCATGCTTCAAGTAAATTGCAGCAAGATGATCAGGGTTTTTAACCTGTGTAATCACACCATGGGGATAGCTAGGGGGTTAGGTGACTGTATATGATATTCTATACAAGCTAAGGCACCCATCCTATGTCTGGGGGCATAAGGACTGAATGTTGGGCAGGAACTAATAAACTAAATTAAGAATTTTTATTTATATTCTTAATTTAATTCACACTATATATTTTATAACTATTTTATTTCACATTACAGAAATAGTGTTACAATTACTTTAATTTCTTTTGCTTTCCTTTCCTTTACTTTTACTAATTCTTCTCTACAGTCTCAGTGTTTGTTGATAGATCACATTACAAGAAGTTCTTTCTCCTTCGTGGGCCACAAAAAAGAGATTTCTTGATTATCCTACTCTTGAACACCAAACATAGAATTGACCATGTGAAAAGTAGCCCCACCACTTTAAGGGTCTGATCCTTTGCTTTGATTACCATTTTTTCTGGCAAAAAATGTGAGCATATGACATTTTTAATGAAAAAACTCAAAACTAAAAACAATTTCAAGAAAAATAAACTCAAAATAAATAATTTTAGGAATAAAAAGTGGTCCAAGAATGTGGAGTCATTAGCCAAACAAACATGTTTATGCTGTAGGCATAACTGAGGGTGGGTTGGGCTGGGTAATAATCACCCTATGCATGAACCTTGGTCCAGTGTATCATCCTACCAAGTTTGGTCAAGAATGGTCCAAAGACCATGGAGTAATTTGCAGATAAACAAACAAACATTTTTTTTTAACTTTTTATAAGTATAGATTTTGCTTAAAACTAGATAGTCATTTGCAAATATCTGGCTGAGGACAAGGTGGATATTTTACAAAGTGGGTTTAGGATTAGATTTTAGTTGTCACATACCTGGCTAAGAACAAAGTGAAAATTTAACACTTTGGGTTTAGGATTAGATTTTAGTTGTCACATACCTGGCTGAGGAGTAGTAAGTAGTTTCAGTGCTCGCACAGGCCCTTGTCTCCAAGACAAAACTTCTTGTCCTTCTCCATTTGCCTGGTATGAAATAAATAATTTTTTAGGGTTCCTCAGCCAATGACATGATTTATTCTAAATACAGATTCATATATTGAGTTAAAATCAATAACACAAATATTCTTTATTTAAACATTATTAATCAACTCACCTTCTTAATCCTAGCACGGCTGATAGTTAAAAAACAAATATCCACTGTAATGGATCTAATTTAAAGTAAGAAAACAACAAACACCCTTGTTACAGTTGTGTAAGACCTTTAATAAAGCTGTAATACTTAACACTATTACAAGAAGCACTTGAGGTCAAAGCCTATGAAGTTGAAGTAACAACATTACATACAACTTTGCTGTAAATAACAAAAGCACCTCCTCTCATATAACTGGAGTGTTTTTACATTGTCAAATCATTGTGATAGCAAGTCCTTTACAATTTCAGAAACAAATAAGAAAATTCAGTTACACAAGATCTAATAGTCATCATCATTATAAGACTCAAATGTTATTTAATTATCAAGTAAGACGATAAGAAGACTATTAAGCATTCTACCTCACAGAACTATATAATGTTGGCACTTTTTTTTTGAAGAACCAGGAGGGGATACAATAGTAAATGATGACGTTTTCACGAGTGAGATGAGACGTATGATGTATAGGGCTACATTTTCAACCAATCATAATCAATGTATGTCCCATCCATCAACTTCTTGTTTCAGCAGAGCCCATTTATCTCTTCCTCATTAGGTAATGTATAGCTTGCCTAACCAAACTCTCCTATTGGTATAGTAATGGGCCATTTTGACATGTTCAGTGTTCTTTATGTGAATGACTTATTGTTTCCTTGTACAGAAATATTAGGTCATGACTGAAGCTATAGTAGAAATTAATTAGTTTTATTACACTACTATAGCTTCAATCATGACCTAATAATCTGTGAGAGAAAATTACTACTATAGCTTCAATCATGACCTAATAATCTGTGAGAGTTAATTTCTACTATAGCTTCAATCATGACCTAATAATCTATGAGAGTTAATTTCTACTATAGCTTCAATCATGACCTAATAATCTGTGAGA